GCACCATGCCTGGCCGGCCTGCCTTCTCGATTCCAGACCAGTGTGTGAGCCCATTAGGGAGTACAAGAGCTCAACATGCAAGGAGGCAGCATCGGTCAATAGTCACATTGATCACAAGGCCTGGCCCTGCCCTACCGTGGGGAAACATCTCCCAGCCATCCACCTGACCTGGCAAAGCCCTGGAAAACAGTCACTTTCTAGGAGTTATCTTGCCAAAGGACCACTTCCCCTGCCCTCTGTTATTCTCAGCCATCAGAATTTCCCTTACCTCGTGGGCAGAAGCATTGCTGTCTTTAACCTCGCTTTCCCAGAATTAAAGCAGTGATCATGGATAGCCGTTTGCTGTAGGTGAAATCCCACCGCCACCCAGACCAATGTTCCCTCTAATTTTTTCCCATCCATATGCAGAATAAATTTTATGTGCACTGAGGCATGTGTGGCTGTGCACCACAGTACAAACACATTCTTCCAGCTGGGGTGCTCTGCTAGTCAGCTGGGAGCATTTGAATCTCCTGGGTAGCTGCCCAAGTGCTCAGCTTATAGGAAAGACTGGCCAGGTCCCCACTGGGCTGCATCTGGGGCCCCCTCCCACCCACCTCCAGGGGCGGCTGGCCAGGCTGCCCATGCAGCAAGCAGAGGGACCTGCTCCCTCTTCCAGGCTGGCTTTAATTCCAGGCACAGCCGAGAGATCCTGCTCTCCCAGTGCAAGCCAATGCAGCCTACTTTTCACCCCAGTCCCCTCCAGCTGGGGCCTTTCAGGTAGGCATGAGACAGAGCCAACTGCTCTGCAGGTTGCATGGCTGCCTCCTTTGTACCTTGGGCCCTCACAAAGGTTTTAAGCCCCATCAATGACCTTGGCCTTTCCAGAGGTCACCAAGCGGGGGTTGAGTGTCTCTGGTGGGCTAGCAGCCACCTCCATGCCCCTTTGAGCAGCAGCCTTCCAAGCAGTGCCCCCTCCAGCCCTAACAGTAAAATCTGGGTCATTCACCCTGCTTGCCCGCTGAGTAGAATCATGGAACTGGAAGGGACCTCAAGAGGTCAAGTCCAGTCCCCTGTTCTCACGGCAGGACCAAGCACCATCTAGATCATCCCTGACCGGTGTCTGTCCAACCTGCTCTTAAATCCCCAACCTCCCTCGTCAATTGATTCCCGTGTTTCACCACCTTGAGAGTTAGGAAGTTTTTCCTAATGTCCAACCTAAACCTCCCTTGCTGCAGTTTAAGCCCATTGCCTCTTGACCCATCCTCAGGGTACAGGCAGGAAACAACAACGAGGCGTTGTCGTCAGGGCCCCAGAGCAAGTCTAATACGTGACGTGTAGTCCCATGATCTCCGTGAGGTGGCCACGTTGGCTAGCAGGGCTCTTCCTTGCAGGTACCAACTTCACGTCATGGATTTTAGCCAAGACGCCTATGGAAAATGAATGAGCTGGACACCCAACAGTGCTACCCGCATCCATCCCGGCACAGCTCTGCCAGCCAGCAAGAGCGAGAAGCATTTTGCAATCCTGTTGCGGCGGGGAGTCGCTGGACTGGATGAGAACAAATGTCCATCTAGCCCCACGTCCTGTGTCAGACAGTAGCCAACGCCGGAGGCTGCAAAGGTGTCGGAGGGTAGCAGCTGTGCGATAATCTACCCCATCCTGGTCGCTAGGGCTACGTCTACACTGCAGGCTTCTTGCGCAAGAACGCGGCCACACTGCCATGTGCTTTTGCGCAAGAGCACCCATGGCCGTGTGGGCGCTCTCTTGTGCAAGAAAGCTCCGATGGCCATTTTAGCCACAGGGATTTTTTCCGCAAGATGCCTGTCCACACTGCCCGCTTGCGCAAGAGGGCTTATTCCTCGGGGAAAGGAATAACTCGTGCGCAAGCCCTCTGTTCTGATGCGTTACTGTACATTTATTTGTGCGAGAATGCGCATGCAGCGTAGCCACTCCGAGTTATCCCTTCTTGCGCAAGAAGCCTGCAGTGTAGACATAGCGCAGGCGTTTCATCTTCCATGGGAGGATCTCCGAGCACCCCACCCGCATTCGAAGTGCCGCAGCCACCGCTTAGCGGCAACTGCAGATACTCAACTCTGCCTGGGCCAAGCTATTAGCGGAGCCGTGACCGCTTTTTTCATGGCTTTTCCAGCTCTTGAACCCAATGGTAGGAGACTCTGTGCTTACAGATCTCTCACACACCGGTTTTTTTCTGAGCTGTCTTGTCTTTACCAGGCTTGGGGTTGGGATTACAGGTGTACACACACACACACACACACCACCCCATCCCCACCCCTCCCCTTGTTGCCTTTTGGCCCAAACATTTGGTCTCAAAGTGATTTCTCCTTCTGCAGAGACAGCCATAGGGCTGTTAAATTGCATCAGCTGATCGAGTAGTGGATGGAACTGACTACTTGATTAATCGAAAAGGGGAGAAACTGCAGAGCCACAGCGGGGTTAGCTCCTGGCCCGGGGGCTAATCTCACTGTGGCTCTGCCTTTGAAATGGATTAAGAGCTCTTAATGTATTTAAAAGGCAGCGGCACAGTTGGGGGACCAGGAGCAAGCTGGGATTCAGCTGTCCTGGCTTGCTCCCGACTCCCCTCCCCTCCCTTCTGAATCAGCTGATTCCCGGCTCTCGCCCAGTCCCCCGCTGTGCCACTACTTCTCTGCTTCTGGGGAGACATTACTGGGGGGAACTGGCTTTTAAGCCAACTCCCCCCACTACTGTCTTCTGCTCCCCCCACCCCAGCCCCCCGCTGCCTCTCTTTGATAGCGGCAGCAAGGTGTGGGGGGAAGTGACTAGTAGAGTCACTAGGCAACTAGTCACTTACATCCCTAACTCTACAGCTGCGCCGCATAAGATCAGCTGGGGCTCGCCCCCAGGCACTGCCACTCTGAGGCGGAGGCGTGAGCCAATGGGCTTTATGGACTCCATTTAGCCTGCGTGACTGAGGCTTTAAAATACACGTGGCCACAGATGTATGCAGGACACAGGCTGCGCCCCCACTGGAGAAATGAATGGGCCGCTGCAGAGACTAGCTCCCAGCTCATTCATGGAGGCTGTCATCTCCTGCCCCCTGCTGAAATCAACAAGGGGCACTAAGTGCCTGGTGCTTCCTGCAAATTACAGGGAACTTCCAAGAGGGGCAGGCTCGGCAGCTCGCCCAAGCACACCCACTGGCACAGGACGCCGGAGCCCAGGAAATGCTGCCAGCATGCAGCTGTCAGAGACAGGCCTCCTGGCCAGCTGGAGGAGGGGAGGCAGAACCCTGCTCTGTTCCTAGCCCCCTGCCCCTTTGCTGAAGCTGGAGGGAGGGAGGGCTGCATGCCTGTTTCTCTGCAGCCGTGCGAGGGCATGCCTGGCTGTGAGGCAGGTCGGCAGGAAGGGCTCAGCTGTCGATCGCTCCCCTCTGGCTCTTTGCTAGATCTCAAGGCGCAGTGTAGGGCTCCTCAAAACAGCACGAGCTCCATCCTCAGTTATTTGCCTTCCAAAAGTCCCAAAATGTGCTGCAGGAAGTGAGTAGCTGAAATATCATTCATCCCCCGCGGCTTGGATTGTCTTCCCCATGCTAAGTGCATTCCACCAGACTATTGCTGGTAATACTAAAACAAGAGCTGGCCTTTGCACGCCTTCCCCCTGAGGAGCCCAAAGCTCTTCACAGAGATGGGGAGGTGGTTCTGGTGCTGACAGAGGAAACTGAGGCACAAAGAGGCGCAGGGACCGGCTCAAAGAGAGTCCTGAGCAGAAATGAACATGGAACGCGGGTCTTCAAATGCTCAGGCTGCTGTTCTAACCACCAGCTGTTCGTGCAGGGGTTAGAACGTTTTTGTTGTGGCTGCCGCGATACCATGAATTGCTAATGGTCCCTTTCCTCCGAGCCAGGCTGTAGCTACATCGGCATTAGCTGAATCATAGAAGACAGAGATGAAACTGACCCAATAGGTTGTGCAATCCATCTGCCTGTCAGGGCCGCCTATTCTGCTAGTCATTTGCCCAGTCTAGTGTTAAGTTTCCAAGCCACTGGGCTGAAAGAAACCCTACACTCCCCCGCAGGCCATCCAGGCCTTGTTAAATGTCATTTTCCGCCTCCAAAGAGTAAAACCGGCCTCACCGGCCAAAGGCAAAGCGCTACCACGACGTCGCTCTGCTTTGAAACGTGCCTCTCGCCTCAGCACCCGGGAAATCACGTTCGACCCTGCCGCTGGCTTGTTGGATTTGCTGTCGTTCCTTCTGAAGAGGGGTTTCTGCTGCTGGCGATGCCCCGTGATCGGAAACTCAGGCTGGCTGCTTCGCTACCTGCTGGGGGTGTTTTAAGGCTGATCCCCCCCCCCCATTGTGTGGCAGTTGTATTGAAATCCTGGAGTACAAGGTGCTGTAGCTTTGTGTGTTGGCATGTTCCTACAGGCTGCCCCAACTCGACAGGTGGTGCAGGGAACCCTCTGCTGGCTTTAGTTTTTAATACGCTACTGCAGTGCCAGGGGGTTTACTCAGCAGGCCTGGGGAACATATAAACTATGCTGGGTGGGATACATTGGAGGAGACTGGAGGTTCTACCAGACAAGCGGGAGGGTGGGCTGGATGGAGCCCGGAATACACAGAATAAGCCTCGGTGCGTTCTTCTTGGCTCCCAGCTTTAGAGAACTGGGTGGTGGTTCCAGATGGCTGGAAAGGAAGCAGCGGAGTTTTGGAGGGCCTGTGGGAAAAGGGGGGGGTCTGGCACAGTATGGGGCCAGAGGGATGTTCTGGGGAGGGGGAAGCACACTGGGGGACCACAGGATCCCAGAGGTGGGGAACAGATGCAAGCAGGGGCGGCACTGGGCAGGGCTAATGCAGAAGGGGCAGTGGAGTCTGTGAAGGGGGGTGGGATCAGCAGCAGTTGGAAAGCTGGGTGGCAGCAGAGGGGAGCGCGGTGGCTGCTGGGAAGGCCAGAGAGGAGGAGACGGTAGGTGCCCAGGTGGGAGATTGACAAGCGGGTTGGCAGTAGGATAGGCTGCCACACGAGATGTTCACCCCAGAGGTTCGTTCGTGGGCTTCATTTGATTCAGGATTCCTCAACGTGCCACAAAACAGGCCTTTAAATCCATATTTTACTCCTCTAATAGTGCTGGTTTGTAGCCCTTTCCTTTCCCCTTCATCCAAGCTTCAGTAAAATGAACTATGTCTCTCTGCAGCTTCGTACAGGTGAAGAAACCAAGGCACCGAGAGGAGAGGTGACGGGGGCAAGGTCATTCAGCAGGTCGGTGGCAGAGCTGGGAATAGAATTCAGGAGGCCTGTCCCCCGCTCCCAGGTGCTAACCACTAAAAAGCCTTCCTCCCACTCATTCCTTTTCCTCCCTTTCTCTCTGTACATGTGCAACGCTGCCTCGGATAGTCATTAGCTGCCCAGGCAGATCCTGCTTTACAAAGACCCACGCTCCAGGAAACAGGCAGGCCTATGCCCATTGTGCTGAAATTAAAGTGACTTGCTCCAGTGAGTCAGTGGCAGAGTCCATAGAGCCCAAGATCCTTGGTTCCCATGCTCTGACCATTGGACCATGCTGCCTCACTGTTGTATGTAGGCATGGATAGTCTTCCCGCGAAGGGCACCATTCCAGCCATGCAATCTAGCCATGCTCTCCGAACAGCTGAGTGGGAGCAAGGCGGCGGTTTGGAAGTGAACAGGGGTGGGGGGCCCAACCGCATTCGAAAGCTGCAGTCACACCTCTGACTCCTCATTGCTACATCAGTTTGTATCTTCAAGGCTGTACATTGCTTAGCACGTATGGACAGTGCACTTAGATCGGCCAGGGCTAGGAGAAAGAAATAGCTGAGCTGCATCTGTCTAACCCAGGGGTGGGTGGTAAGAGGGCAGCGGCCCAAGAGGGTTAGTTTCTGGCAGGCCACCACCACTCTGGTTACCTGCCCCACTCTGGTTACCTGTGCTGCCACAGGTATCACGCGATCGCAGTTCTTGCTGGCTGCAGATCGCCGTTCACAGCCAACGAGCGGTGGGAACCAATGCAGACCAGGACACCACTTCCCACCAAGCCCATCGACTGCAAATGGCGATCCACAGCCAAGAGCTGCGATCGCTCCAGACATGAGGAGCCGCAGGTAAACACAGAGGTTAGGGGCCCGCCAGGGACTGACCCTGACAGACCGGATCCGGCCCGCAGATTGGTATTTGCCCACCTCTGGTCTAAACTCTGCTCTGGCAAACGAACGTAAATGATGCACCGTTTGGTAACTGTTGTTGTCTAATCATGTCAATTACAAGAGAGATTCCAGCATCCTGGGCAAGCCTGCCCTAAGATCCCTCATTTCTTACCGCCCAACTGTCAGAGAGCAGAATCCCTCAGTCAGCAGTGGGGCTGCCGAAGGTTTTGTCTACACTTAAATGGAGAGCGACACTCAAGGTTCAATTGAGGGGTCTAGTAAGGACCCACTAAATCAACCGCAGATGGTTCCCCTGTTGACCACTCCTTGGGGCCATGAGGAGTACGGGAAGTCAATGGGAGAGTTTCTCCCATCGGCCTCCCGCAGCAGGGATGCTGTGGTATGTCAAACTAAGGTATGTCGACTCTAACTACCCTATTCGCGTCTCTCAGTTCAACTTCCTCCCCCACTGCAGACCTGGCCTAAGAAGCAATTAGTTCAAAACCATACGGAGAGAGGAAACGGTGTTGTGACACCATAATAGAAGAACTAGAGGACACCAAATGAAATTAATGGGTAGCAGGTTTAAAACTAATAAAAGAAAGTTCTTCTTCACACAGCGTGTAGTCAACCTGTGGAACTCCTTGCCAAAGGAGGCTGTGAAGGCTAGGACTATAATAGAGTTTAAAGAGAAGCTAGATAATTTCATGGAGGTTAGGTCCATAAAAGGCTATTAGCCAGGGGATAAAATGGTGTCCTTGGCCTCTGTCTGTCAGAGGCCGGAGAGGGATGGCAGGAGACAAATCGCTTGATCATTGTCTTCGGTCCAGCCTCTCTGGGGCACCTGGTGCTGGCCACCGTCGGCAGACAGGATACGGGGCTAGATGGACCTTTGGTCTGACCCAGTACGGCTGTTCTTATGTTCATTGCAAAAAAAGCAAACATGATTCTGGGAGGCATCAACAGGAGTGTGGTGAGCAAGACACGAGGAGTCATTCTTCTGCTCTACTCCACACTGATTAAGCCTCAGTTGGAGTATTGTGTCCAGTTCTGGGCACTGCATTTTAAGAAAGATGTGGAGAAGAGGAACAAAAATGATGAAAGGTCTAGAGAACATGAGCTAGGAGGGAAGGCTGAAGGAACTGGGCTTGTTTAGTTTAGAAAAGAGAAGACAGAGGGGATATGAGAGCCATTTTCAAATATCTAAAAGGGCATTCCAAAGAGGAAGGAGAAAAATTGTACTCACAAAAATTGTGCTCCCAAAGGCCCCTCTGGGCGCAGGGGAGTGCAGGTGCTGCAGTCCCCTCCTCACGCAGGTGGTGTCTTCCCCAACAGTGCACTCCAAGCATCCAGCAGCCCCTCTGCATACACAAGCACGGGGGGAGGGGAGGGAACAGGATGAAGGCAGCACAGCCAGGACGCCTTGGGACAGATCAGACATATGAGGAAACATTGGCACTAGGGATGTGAAAGGATAAATGGGAGGTTCCATCCCTAGCTGGCACAGCAACCAGGTCAGGGACCAGTCGGACTTGGCTACCATGTTCCAGCCCAACATGATACAGGGCTGCCTCTTCTGTGTACAGCATCTGGCGCGGCGGAGCCCTAGGCCTCGACTGGGCCACTGAGGCACTATGGCAGCACAGTGCTGCAGGGATTCCCCCACAGCCCCCACCCAGCACAGCTGTGTGCACAGGTAACAAAACCCGCCAATCACTCCGCGCACGTTCCCGACGCACCCATCGCTGCTGAGCCCCCTTCTAATCCATTCGGTGCCGTGTTGTTTCTCTCACCGCGCTCATCACGGCCCCCGGACGCGCGACTCGTCTGTCACGCCGTCACTCTTCTCCTTCCCCCGCACAGCTACAGGCAAAGCCCCGTGCTCAGAGCGGAGGGTGGGGAGGTTTGGGGTGGTCCTTGGTGCCGGCGGGAGGGGGAATTCGTGCCACAGGCTCAGACTGATGCCCAAGGCAGCTCGGTCTCCTGCACAAACAAGCCCTATCCTCGTGGCAGAGCATCCCAGAGGGGCGGAGTTGGAATCACGGCTCGCACCCGGGAGCGTCAGGTTCTTCTAGAGCCCCTGGGCCCAGGCTCTGGCAATGCAGACTAAGAACATTGGTTCTGCGGGAAGCCGGAGCCAGGTGCTCATGGCAGCCAGCGTTGCTAAGGAGACGTGCTGCTGTGTTCTGTGCCAGCCTCCCCCCTTCCTCCCCCATGCTGGCAGCACTGCTGACGCAGAGGCACCTGGGGAGGAACCTCAGATGCTGCTAGGGCTTCTGGCAGGGAGAAAGGCAACGTGGGGGGAGGGGGGGGGCAACAGGGACATACTCCCCCCAGGTCAAATGTTGCCTCCAGCAGCGTTGCTAAGGAGACGTGCTGCTGTGTTCTGTGCCAGCCTCCCCCCTTCCTCCCCCATGCTGGCAGCACTGCTGACGCAGAGGCACCTGGGGAGGAACCTCAGATGCTGCTAGGGCTTCTGGCAGGGAGAAAGGCAACGTGGGGGGAGGGGGGGGGCAACAGGGACATACTCCCCCCAGGTCAAATGTTGCCTCCAGCAAAGCATCAGAGCAGTGGGAGGCACAGGAGGTACGAACAGCTGGGGGTAGGACCCTGATTCCTTGGTTATCTCCCCGTAGTGCCTCGGAGCCTAGCCATGGACAGGAGCCTACTGTGCCAGGAGCTAGACAAAGCCTTCCAGGGCTCAGCTAAGCCAGGGGCTACTGAGGCTTTTGGCTCAAGCCTGCGGATGGAAAGAGGCCATGCACGGGAATCCCCCCAGCCAGCATTTGGCAGCGCAGCAACCTCTCCCCCAGCCACCTGTGCAGTTCAAACCCCACAGGCATCGCGGGCTGCATCTACACTCCGGCAGCCAGCTGACTTGAGTGCCGCCGCTCCAGCTGTGCGCATAAGGTGGCTGGAGTCGACGTGCCTGGCGTCGAGTTAGCGCGGGGCGCACACCAGGGCGGGCCGACGGGAGAAACTCTCCCATCAATCTCTCTTCCTCTTCTCATCCGGGGTAAAGCAAAGGCATCCATGGGAGAGCCATCTGCAGTATATTTGGTTGGTCTTTGCTAGACCCACTAAATCCACTCCCGGTGGATCGATCTCAGCATGTTACCTGGGCTATAGCATAGAGGTAGCCCTAGACACTTTCCTCAGAGGAATAACTCTGGCTCTGCTCCCTCATCACAACCTGTGAAACAGAGCCCAGCAGAAAAGCCAGGGGCTCTTCCACCACATGTCCCACGAGGAGCATCACCCCGACAAAGCCAGGCTGAGGTACATGCTCCCTCCAGGCTAGAAAGAGGCTCCTAGGAAACAGAGCCAACAGAGCAAGAATGCCTGGCCCAGTGCCGGGTTAGAACAGACCGGGTTAGAACCCAGTGCCGGGTTGACAGAGACGGGGCTCCATTGATTGGTATTAGCATAAGTTCAGCAGCTGACTCAGAATAGGCCTGGTCTGAAGAATCAGTGAGGTCACGTGTCAGCAAAACAGGAAGGGAGAGGTGCTTTCTGCTGGCAGGGAAGTGGCACATATCCCTGTTCCTTCACTGGCTGATATTGCTATGGATTTTGGCAGCACCTGGGTCCAGGGTCTAAAGGCCTCAGAACATCCCCAGGCAGGTAGATCAGGCTTACTCCCATTTAAAGATGGGAACCTGAGATGGCGAACTTGGGCCCCTGAATGCCACAGCTGCTGCTATCCCACAACATGTCAGGCACCCACCATTAGAGGCTCCTTTTGAAAATGTGTCTGTGACATGTCCAGTATCAATGGCAGTGACTGGAAAAGAACCCAGGCCCCTGCTCTAACCAGTCAATAACACTGTCAAGCTACGAGCAAGAGGCCTAGGTTTTTTTCCAGTCACTGCCATTGATACTGGACACTCCAAAGATGACCAAGTCTATTTATTTTCAAATACCTGAAAGGATGTGATGAGGAGGAGGGAGAAAAATTGTTCTTCTTGGCCTCTGAGGACAGGACAAGAAGCAATGGGCTTAAACTGCAGCAAGGGAGGTCTAGGATGGACATTAGGAAAAACTTCCTACCTGTCAGGGTGGTGAAACACTGGAATAAATTGCGTGTGGGGGGTTGTGGAATCCCCATCTCTGGAGATATGTAAGAGCAGGTTGGAAACACGTCTATCTGGGATGATCTAGACGGTGCTGGGTCCTGCTATGAGTGCAGGGGGCTGGTCTTGATGACCTCTCGAGGTCCCTTCCAGTTCTAGGATTCTGATTCTATCTTCATTTCTGCATCAGCACATTGAGCCAAGGACACGTGTGTTTGGCTGTAATTTTACTGTGTGCAGGAGTCAGGGCCCTTCCCCCCCGTGAGCAGCACGAACCGTCATTTATGGCATACGGTGTCCTTACAAACGACAAGCAGGGAACAGCGATGGGGAACAGAACATTTACTCTCCTGGTAGCCAAGAAGCAGTCTCCTTCCCTTCACATACTCCTCAGCCAGCCTCCCGTTTTAAGTCAGCTCTGGGCCTAGACACATCCTCTCCTGAAACCTGACAACTGCTCGGCCCCGAGAGACAGGCTATCTGGCCCCTCCCAAGGCAGACACATGGTCTCTCTGTGCTATCCACCCCCTCCACTGACACCAGTAGATACAAGAGAGGCCACGTTCTCTTTGCTGTTCCCTTCACCATCAAGCTTTACAGTAACCATGTGTCCGAGTGCTGAACACAGTAGCACGATTGCAGCAGCAAGGCATTGAGCTCCTTGTATGTCTGCTCCCGCCAGTGCGGCAGCAGCACCTGGTTGTTGAACACCCGGAGGCTGGGCGTGCCATTCCGTAACAAGCTGTACAGACAGGACCAGCGACTCTGAAGAGCCAGCCTAGTTCTCCGGTTCAGGATGATGCCCCGAACTGTCTTCTTGATCCTCAGCACCCTCAAGGAGGGCAGGTCGAGGTGATAGAACACCAGGCCGCGGCTCTGGGACACATCCAAGTACTCCAGGGATCTGGATTCCAGGGAATAGGAGATGCCCAAGTCTTTGACTGGCACCAGCACATGAAGGATTAGAGTCTTGAGGTGGGGCAGGGCTTTGGCGAGATCCCGCATGATCTCTGGGCAAACCCCATTGAAGCTCCCGAAGTATTTCAGCTCCAAGGTGTGAAGCTGCTGGAACTGGGTAAGCATGGCAACCGAGTGTGCAGACCAGTCAAAGGGCAGCTTCATCCTGGTGAGCTTTGGGGACCTCTGGATAAGCTTCTCCAGAAGGGTCTGGAAGTTGCTGATCTGCTCCATTTTGATCAAGCTGACCTGCAGCATGCTGCCGTTGCCGGACGGGTAGAAGTCGGGCGGTTCCAGGTGCGTCAAGGTCCAGTTGAGCTCCAGCTCCTGCAACTCCCCACAGTGGACACTGTCCAAAAAGCGTGAAAGGAAGTCAGCCCATTTGGTCTTCTGGTCACCCAGGTCAAAGCTGGCCCGGAGGACAAGCAGGCTAGCACCACGAGAGGTCAGGTGATAGGCATACTGGTGGACCCCCTCTTTCCTCCTCTCAAATTCTCTGGCAGAAACCAGCACCAAATCCATCCCTGAGTGGAAGGCCCCAAGTCTTATGAAGTCAGCCACCCTCCAGAGCCTGGGGGTGCGGATCAGCTTGCTCCAGGCTTCACAGACCAAGGCAGCTGTGCACTTCTCCACCTCAGAAAGGAAAGAGAAGACATGGAGCTGACAGTCTACTGGCAGGAAGCTGAAGGGAAAGTAGCTTGGCGTCCTAGTCCTGCGACCCAGCTGTGCGCGGCACCGTGAGCCAACCCGGGCCAGGACTGGGGCTTCTGGAGCAGTGACTTCAGCCAACTGAGGGGGGGCTGAACGCTGACAATGTTTCCTTTTCCGAGGCATGGTGCCTAAGCAGTCACTAGTCAGGCCCCACCCAACGCAGAGGGCCAATGGCACTGATGCTCAGCTAGGCACTCCCGGGCAGGCGTGGCCAGCTGAGACCTGCAGAGAGAACATGACATCCTGTTACGTGGGCTTGGGACCACGACCCCCATTAAATCCCCATTCCCAATGTCACAGCACCTGGTGCCTTGCAGCCAGATGGCTCAATCACTCCAGAATAGGGGGCCATGAGCTCCCTGCGCCTCCCACCTTCCTCTCTGGATAGCTACCTGCAATGGATAGGAGGAGTGCTGGCCAGCACTTGGTGACTAAAAGGTTAAACTCAGGTCGCTAGCAAGGGTGTCGACAGGGATACAGTGCTGAAATTTGAATTGGCTAGAGCAGTGTTTCTCAGCCTTTTTTTAATAAAGTACCCCTTTGTTTAAAAAGAATTTATAAGTACCCCCAGTATCTAGTTTTCAGACACAAAATTTTCAACCACTGCAACACATTTGTTTAAACAACTTAATTGTAGCTGGGTGGGCGATGAAATTTTGGGGTTTAAAAAGATAAAAAATGATAAAGCGCTGTAAAACTTAGAATAAAAATTTGCTTTTCTTCAAATTTCAGTTGTGTTGACATACCCCCAGAGTTCTCTCGAGTACCCCTAAGGGGTACTCACTGGTTGAGAAACACTGAGCTAGAGATACCTGGCTGCTCTTCCTTTGTGTCTTCTAAGCTAAGGGTTGGAGGGAGCAACATTCAATAATCAGAATTACCATGCCTATGAGAAATACTGGACATGAGAGTGAACTGGGACTTGAAGCACAGACAGTGAGTAGAGAGAAAACATGTGTTTAGTCGTGATCAGGGTATTTTTCTTTGTTTTGGCTGTTTGGTTAAACTCTTCTGTGTGAATCCGTGCCTTCCCTTTCCCATTCGCTATCCAAGAGCGGATCTGGAGATGTTCCCTGTGTTTTAATTTGGTTTAGTCAGTTGCTCTGTAACACCGAGCAGCCACATATGCTTTCTCAAGTGTATCTGTTTATTTTGTTAAGAAAATCACCTTTTTTAAAGTGATTATTTGATTCTTGTGTCCTGGAAAGAAAGAAACAGGTTGGTCGCTCTCTCTCTGTCTGTCTGTCTGTCTGTCTATGCAGGCCTCAGACTGCAGTTTATTTTCTCTTTGTTTTCTCAAGCTCTCTCATGGTAAAAGAGCTTGGGGCGCCCGTGGGGAAGGAACTCAAGTGGTTAGGACTTAAATCACTTGATGGCGGCAGTTTTTGTTTTTCTCAGAGCCGGTGCCTCTGTGACCCTGGAAAGGTTTTGTAAGAGGCCTAGGGAGGCAGGTATTGAAGGTCTCTTGTGGGCCCCCCACCTGCTGCCCCCGGAGTGCCAGGGTGGGGACTCCCAAAGCCTGAACCCCCTCCTGCACCCCAACTCCCTGCCCTATCCCTGAGTCCCCCTGCACCCAAACTCCCTCCCAAAGCCTGAACCCCCTCCTGCACCCCAACTCCCTGCCCTATCCCTGAGTCCCCCTGCACCCAAACTCCCTCCCAAAGCCTGAACCCCCTCCTGCACCCCAACTCCCTGCCCTATCCCTGAGTCCCCCTGCACCCAAACTCCCTCCCAAAGCCTGAACCCCCTCCTGCACCCCAACTCCCTGCCCTATCCCTGAGTCCCCCTGCACCCAAACTCCCTCCCAAAGCCTGAACCCCCTCCTGCACCCCAACTCCCTGCCCTATCCCTGAGTCCCCCTGCACCCAAACTCCCTCCCAAAGCCTGAACCCCCTCCTGCACCCCAACTCCCTGCCCTATCCCTGAGTCCCCCTGCACCCAAACTCCCTCCCAAAGCCTGAACCCCCTCCTGCACCCCAACTCCCTGCCCTATCCCTGAGTCCCCCTGCACCCAAACTCCCTCCCAAAGCCTGAACCCCCTCCTGCACCCCAACTCCCTGCCCTATCCCTGAGTCCCCCTGCACCCAAACTCCCTCCCAAAGCCTGAACCCCCTCCTGCACCCCAACTCCCTGCCCTATCCCTGAGTCCCCCTGCACCCAAACTCCCTCCCAAAGCCTGAACCCCCTCCTGCACCCCAACTCCCTGCCCTATCCCTGAGTCCCCCTGCACCCAAACTCCCTCCCAAAGCCTGAACCCCCTCCTGCACCCCAACTCCCTGCCCTATCCCTGAGTCCCCCTGCACCCAAACTCCCTCCCAAAGCCTGAACCCCCTCCTGCACCCCAACTCCCTGCCCTATCCCTGAGTCCCCCTGCACCCAAACTCCCTCCCAAAGCCTGAACCCCCTCCTGCACCCCAACTCCCTGCCCTATCCCTGAGTCCCCCTGCACCCAAACTCCCTCCCAAAGCCTGAACCCCCTCCTGCACCCCAACTCCCTGCCCTATCCCTGAGTCCCCCTGCACCCAAACTCCCTCCCAAAGCCTGAACCCCCTCCTGCACCCCAACTCCCTGCCCTATCCCTGAGTCCCCCTGCACCCAAACTCCCTCCCAAAGCCTGAACCCCCTCCTGCACCCCAACTCCCTGCCCTATCCCTGAGTCCCCCTGCACCCAAACTCCCTCCCAAAGCCTGAACCCCCTCCTGCACCCCAACTCCCTGCCCTATCCCTGAGTCCCCCTGCACCCAAACTCCCTCCCAAAGCCTGAACCCCCTCCTGCACCCCAACTCCCTGCCCTATCCCTGAGTCCCCCTGCACCCAAACTCCCTCCCAAAGCCTGAACCCCCTCCTGCACCCCAACTCCCTGCCCTATCCCTGAGTCCCCCTGCACCCAAACTCCCTCCCAAAGCCTGAACCCCCTCCTGCACCCCAACTCCCTGCCCTATCCCTGAGTCCCCCTGCACCCAAACTCCCTCCCAAAGCCTGAACCCCCTCCTGCACCCCAACTCCCTGCCCTATCCCTGAGTCCCCCTGCACCCAAACTCCCTCCCAAAGCCTGAACCCCCTCCTGCACCCCAACTCCCTGCCCTATCCCTGAGTCCCCCTGCACCCAAACTCCCTCCCAAAGCCTGAACCCCCTCCTGCACCCCAACTCCCTGCCCTATCCCTGAGTCCCCCTGCACCCAAACTCCCTCCCAAAGCCTGAACCCCCTCCTGCACCCCAACTCCCTGCCCTATCCCTGAGTCCCCCTGCACCCAAACTCCCTCCCAAAGCCTGAACCCCCTCCTGCACCCCAACTCCCTGCCCTATCCCTGAGTCCCCCTGCACCCAAACTCCCTCCCAAAGCCTGAACCCCCTCCTGCACCCCAACTCCCTGCCCTATCCCTGAGTCCCCCTGCACCCAAACTCCCTCCCAAAGCCTGAACCCCCTCCTGCACCCCAACTCCCTGCCCTATCCCTGAGTCCCCCTGCACCCAAACTCCCTCCCAAAGCCTGAACCCCCTCCTGCACCCCAACTCCCTGCCCTATCCCTGAGTCCCCCTGCACCCAAACTCCCTCCCAAAGCCTGAACCCCCTCCTGCACCCCAACTCCCTGCCCTATCCCTGAGTCCCCCTGCACCCAAACTCCCTCCCAAAGCCTGAACCCCCTCCTGCACCCCAACTCCCTGCCCTATCCCTGAGTCCCCCTGCACCCAAACTCCCTCCCAAAGCCTGAACCCCCTCCTGCACCCCAACTCCCTGCCCTATCCCTGAGTCCCCCTGCACCCAAACTCCCTCCCAAAGCCTGAACCCCCTCCTGCACCCCAACTCCCTGCCCTATCCCTGAGTCCCCCTGCACCCAAACTCCCTCCCAAAGCCTGAACCCCCTCCTGCACCCCAACTCCCTGCCCTATCCCTGAGTCCCCCTGCACCCAAACTCCCTCCCAAAGCCTGAACCCCCTCCTGCACCCCAACTCCCTGCCCTATCCCTGAGTCCCCCTGCACCCAAACTCCCTCCCAAAGCCTGAACCCCCTCCTGCACCCCAACTCCCTGCCCTATCCCTGAGTCCCCCTGCACCCAAACTCCCTCCCAAAGCCTGAACCCCCTCCTGCACCCCAACTCCCTGCCCTATCCCTGAGTCCCCCTGCACCCAAACTCCCTCCCAAAGCCTGAACCCCCTCCTGCACCCCAACTCCCTGCCCTATCCCTGAGTCCCCCTGCACCCAAACTTTGCGTGTGGGGTTGTGTGCTTGTACTGCACCAGCCCAGCCAGCCAGTGTGAAGCCCTCAAGCACCACATCAGCCTAGTTGTGGGGTCACCAACAGTCCTGTGGGACACACTGATCTGCCGCACCATCCTGGGGAGCCGACCCCGGGACAGGTGCCTCTCACACCAAGAATCGCGGCAATATTCAGCTTATTCCCAGACCCATAAGATCAGTCACTTATCCCAGGTCACTTGCACCCTTGATCTTACTAAGGATGTAAAAGACTAGTCGACTAGTCAATTAACCACATTTTAACATTCTTAGATCTTACACCAAACACTAGGACTACATCTATATTGGCAAGATTTAGCGCAAATACTCTTTAACGCAAGAGTTTTTGCCTTAGAGTATTTGAGTAAGAGAGCGCCTACGCTGGCATGTGCCTTTGCGCAAAAGATGTAAAAATGCAAAAGATGGCCATTTTAAACATCGGGCTTTCTTGCGCAAGAAATTCATGTTGCCTGTCTACACTGGCCTCTTGCGCAAGAACAGTTGCGCAAGAGGGCTTATCCCTGAGTGGGAGCGTCAGAGTATTTGCGCAAGAAGCACTGATTTTGTACAGTACAACGTCAGTGTTCTTGTGCAAGTACTCGCGGCCCGTGTATACAGTGTAGACACTTTTGCGCAAAATCTTGCCAATGTAGACGTAGCCTAGACTAGTAGTCAATCCTATACAAATCTATATACCTACATTGGCAAGATTTTGCGCAAAAGTGTCTACACTGTATACACGGGCCGCGAGTACTTGCACAAGAACACTGACGTTGTACTGTACAAAATCAGTGCTTCTTGCGCAAATACTCTGATGCTCTCGCTCAGGGATAAGCCCTCTTGCGCAAGTATTCTTGTGCAAGAGGCCAGTGTAGACAGCAACGTTAATTTCTTGCGCAAGAAAGCGTCTACACTGGCACGGATGCTTTTGCGCAAAAGCACATTCCAGTGTAGACGCTCTCTTGCGCAAATACTTTTAACGGAAAAACTTTTCCGTTAAAAGTATTTGCGCAAAATCCTGCCAGTCTAGACGCAGCCCCAGTGTTATTTACCAGATTAAAGCAGGTAACCATAGGTATGCAAATGTGCTACAAAGTTACATTTCAAGGTGTATAGAGATGTCTCTAATAAGCAAGTGAGCATCTTTTAGCCCAGGCTGAGCAGCTGGGAGATCTCTTGTTTAGGCCCAGAAACCTTTGCCTCTCCTGACCCCCCACCCTAAGCAACCAGAGCGACCCAGTTCCTTTTGTTTGGGGGTGTTATCCCCATCCTGCCATGTGCTTTGTGCTGCAAACTCAGCACATGGGAGGAATTCACTTGCATCAATCATCTTCTTGGGGCCAAGCAGAGCCAAAAAGTCTTTTGTCCTTGTTAGCATCCATCTGTGTCCATGGGCCTTACCTGTGGGGCAGGGCAAATACCTCGGCTCTGGCTACATTGGTGTGATCTTGCACAAGAACACTGACGTTCTAATGTATGAAATCAGGGCTTCTTGTTCAAGAACTATCATGCTCCCGCTCACAAATAAGTCCTCTTGCGCAACTGTTGGCCATCGGAGCTTTCTTGCGCAAGAGAGCATCTACACTGGCACGGAAGCTCTTGTGCAAAAGCACATCTCTTGTGCAAAAGTACATGCCAGTGCAGACGCTCTCTTCTGGAACAGTTTTTGCCCAAGAGCTCTTCCGCAAAAGAGTTCTTGCGCAAAATCATGCCAGTGTAGACGTAGCCGACTCCTGTTGTAGCCAGCACTTCACACTGGTTAATGTCTCTCTCCTGCCTGGCGATTTGCAGCTTCTCAAACCATTCAAATATTGCCTTGAATATGGTAATATGGGGATACCGATGTCATAAGGGAGGGCAAGTCAATCCGACAACATTAAGTCAACCTAAGCTGCCATGTAGCCATTGTGGAGCTTGATGTATTTTGTGTTGGTGCTGTGTGGCCTCACCAGG